TAATACTATGGAGTTGGAAAAAACTTGTCCCTTGTGTTGTCCAAACATAAAATCAATTCCAGCAATATGCATAATTAAAAGCAAAATGGAGACACATTTTGAAGTGTTAACCCTTTTTGACACAAACTGGGTTTGCACATTTGATGGTGGTGGCAAAAGATGTGGACAAGACATTGTTATTACACCAAATAAAGAAATGTCTTATGTTATATCATATAGATAAAGGCTGTGCATGAATAAATCAGTATCCCTGTTACTTTTTACCCTGTTACTTATATTTTTTGCCTCTTTTTGGGTGGAGTAAAAATTTGTTGTCCTCAGCACTGGTTGTGTTATAATGTCAGAATGATGCTGACAGTCAGAGAGCAAGACAAAAAACAGGATGTAGGCTCTACAGGATGACTGAAAAAAAAAAATTGTGCATAAAGAGTACCCCAGGGATGATGTTTTTTGGGCCAACATGGAAGTTAGCGTTGCTCTGATTCCTCCGTGAGAAAGCTAATGGGGTTTTTTCCCATTGGATTTAGGATTATTGCATAAAATAAGCTCTGTAGCAAACATTTATGACACTTCCACGTTTTGTTCAGCAATATAATCTTCACAAATGAACAACACCTTCATGATTATTGAAGCCTAAATGCAGTCACCAGAAGTAAAAAGCTTAAAGGTGCCGTATGTAAGAATGTGGCCAAAACGGTTACTGCACTCAAATTCAAAATACTGCCGCGAGTCGTGTCTGCCCCCCCTCTCCTACAGATTCGAGGTTGCTGGACAGCAGCACGCTGGATACTGATTTGTTTGCCCACAGGCGACTGCCGTGGCAGGGCCGCGTTGCTGCGTCCTTGATCTTCAGTTTTCCAGCGGACCGTTCAAGCAAGTCCGGCTTCTCTGCTGCTAACGCTGCTGCCGGGATACAGCTGAGGAGGAGCCGGCTGCTAATGCTATGTACCGGGACACTGCTAATGCTGCTTGCCGTGCTGCTAACGTTTGTTTCTCAAAAAAATCAGTCGGGTCAATGATCCACCTGCACATGGGCTACAATGTATGATCGAAAATGAATAACAGTTGAAAGTATTCTAAATGTCCATCCCCATCTAGCTATGATGCTAGTTAGCCAACTTTTGCTAAAGCTTACCTGTCGAGGAGAAGAGTAGCCACTTCGACATCCGATTTCAAATTCTTCTCCGCTTTCAACCGTCTCCACCGTTCAAAAGCATCTCCTATATAGACCCTCGCTTTGCCTCGAGTTTTGTCTTGGTGTTTTTGGGAATCATAACAAGGTCGTTTGGGTTTAGTCGCACCGTCAGCCATTGTAGCTCAGTCGTAACTGTAACTGATGCTGAGACTCTACTGACTGCATGACTGGTAGACGGCGGTGGGTGGCGCAACAGGCCAAAACACAAATTCAAAACATAAACATGATTTGCAGACTGTAAAAATGTTTTCTAAATGCAAATATTCTGGCTGTACTATTGTTGTCGGTGAGATCAGTATGTTATATGAACATTATTCCTTAGTCTCTGTGACATATTAGGATGATTTTACGACTATTTGCTTTAGATTTCTTACATATAGCTCCTTTAAGGTTAGGCTATAACGAACTACACTACGGTCACATGACCTAGCGTCACCACCACAACAAGACTGTAAAGCCGTGTTCGGCGCAGCTCGGCGTGATGATGTTCTGTAGTCTCATTTAGCCGCTTGTTAGCAACCACCCTTTAGAAGACACATAGAAGCTTCAGAGTTCACGAGTGGGGTATTTACTGACATATTTTATGTTGTTGCACAAAATGTTAAAGTCTCTTAAGCTTGTGCTAACCACAGACCTTAATTCAGGCGTCTAACCAAAAACTTATTCAAAACGACCCACTGACTTTGAGACAAGGGATCTGGGAGTGCTAAAATGCTAACTCATTTCCAGGTTTTAGGACTCATTCCTTTGGCACTCTAAAGCTGTCGTAAAGAGGATAAAATCTCCCTGGGCTGGTGTGCTCCCAAGGCCCCCAAGGTTTGGGCTGAGCCACCAGTTTCAAAACTGATGTCTTCAGATGTCTTTTGTTTTGTCTGACCAACAGTCCAAAAACAAAAGACATCCAGTGAGCAATCATGTCTGACAAAGAAAAGCATCAACCCTCACCAGAGCAGACAAACAAATAACTTTGATTTAGTTCTATGGAGTTGGAAAACATGCAAAAAAAACTCCTTTGTGTTGTGTAGAAATAAAATCAATTCCAGCAATATACATAATTAAAACCAAAATGGAGACACATTTTGAAGTGTTAACCCTTTTTTACACAAACTGGGTTTTCACATTTAATTGTGGTGAAAAAAGATGTGGACAAGACATTGTTATTACACCAAATAAAATAATGTTTTATGTTACATATGTCATATAGGCTGCGTGCAAATGAATCAGTATCCCTGTTACATGAGAAAAAGTCAGTCACAGACAAAGAAATGTACAATAAAAAGAGATGTTGATTTTGTAGGGCTGCAACTAATGATTGTTTTTAAGATATATCAATTCCTCATTTTATCTATAAAATGTCAGGAAACTGCAGAAAATGTCAGAAAAATGTCAGAAAAATCCAGACTCTGTGCTATCTCACATAACCTAATATTGTATTCGCTTCAGAAGACTGAAGACAGGGGCGTAAATATAGACAGTGCAGGCAGTGTGGTTGCACTGGGGCCCCTGGGGTGAGGCACTTGCGAATGATTCATATTGACACCTTGGAACTGCACCTGTGTTCAAGGAAGAACTATTAAATTAAAAATGGTGCCATTTGCTATGGGCTATATTCCCCTTTAAAAAATGCAAACCCATCTCTCTTGTGAATCTATAACAAAATTATACTCAGTAACATCTAAGTTTCTATTTGATCATGTGATAGAGCAATACCATACAGTAGCTAGTTTAGATACAAGATATGTCAAGATGAGCCTGGTCTCACTCCAAAGTCGTCAAAGTCCGAATGGGGTGTTCGCATTCTCGGAACCCATCGGATGTATTCAGCGTCTGACTTCTGGCATACGGCGATACAGCCTCTGGGGGCAGACCCCCGATTTTTTGGCATTCTGGTTTGAGGCGGTGAATTTCCGTTTCCGACTTCTGTTTATATATAAGTAAATATGCTGAACCATTGTGATGGATTCAGAGTTTGCAGTGACGGCAATTATGTTCTGCCTTGTTAGTTCACCGCACGGAGCATTTAATCTGGCAACAACTGCGGCTGGCTCAGACGTGATTGGTCAATATCACGCGCACTACAAACAGCCTAGCACCGGAAACCAGGGCTCTTCCACTCTTCTTCTGGAGGCAAGATCTCCGGGGTTTGCCTACAGACTCTACATTCACTGAATGTAGAGTCTGTATATAGAGACAAGGGTGTTCGCATCCCATAAGATGCTAAAGCCAAACCTTGTTCTTTTTTCCTAAACCTAACCATGTGTGTTTGTTGTTGAAGGGAAAAAAACCCATCAATTTGCGGTGTAGTACCATCGTAGTGCTTTTATTTTGAAAGAGAGTATGTAAACTTTAAATTTCCTGTGAAAACAGTAGTATATTTTGAAAGAAGACAATGCATGTAACAGGCAGAACTTGACACGGTGTCCCAGAACGTCAACCAACACACCCAGGGTACCTTGCACGTCGTATGTGGACGTGGAAAGTCCATGACCAGAACATCAATATGTGACGAGGTTGGAGTAAGAATGTGTTGTCCAGACTGACAAGCTGAGCACATCTACACACACACAAGCAAAAAGCACGACTGTAAGAAAGGACAAGAGAGAAGTAAACAAGTGGAAAAAGTAGCAAGGCTTCCTAAATTAGATTCCTTTGGCTTTTTTTGGCCAGTGGTGTGTGTGGGCGCCTTATAACTACTAGCTGGCGTGCATTAGGGCCCGTCACTGTGGCGTGCACTGGGGCCCTTGGTAACTACCTTACACCACTGACTGAAGGCCACATTACTTGGGATTGTTGGCAAGCCTTGGTTTGCCATTAGCAGCCCACACTGAAAGAGTTACACTGTAAAATAACAGTAAAATACTGGCAGCAGGATGGCAGTATTTTACTGTGAAATTCTTTACAGTGTGCTGTAAGTTTACGATGGCAGTATCTTACTGTATTTTGTAATAACTGTAAATTATGTTGATTAATCATCCCTTGCATGTAAATTAACAGTTAAAGCAGTAAATAACTGTAATTTACCAGTATAAAACAGTATTTGTTTCAAATTACTGTAAATTTATGGTGAATAACAATTGTATCTTACTGTAATTTTTATAAAAATTGTAAAATACTGTTCAATATTCATCCCTTGAAGGTAAATTAACAGTTAATGCCTGGTTAACAATAACAAACTGTAATATAATGGTATAAAACAGTATTTTATGTTGATTTATTTATGACAAAGACTGAATTGTAGATAATTTGTCAGCTACTTTATAATGCTGGGCAGCTAAACGTACAATATTACATCCCATCTTAGTTGATTTATTTTATGTATGAATCATCTAAATCTGAAAAGTAACATGAGGTGTCAAAAATGTGATAAATTTAAAAGTGCATTGCCTCGAAAATAAAGTGGAGTGGAAGTATACTCAAGTAAAGTCCCTATAAATTGTACATAAGGAGAGTACTCCAGTAAATGTACTCAGTTACATTGCATGACCTTGTGAATGCACCTCTTTGGAATCTCCTTGCTGTTAACAGGGGTCTATTTTGACTCATTAAACATAATGATTTAATAATGACATGTTTTCTGCAGCCATCATGCAGAATACTTTACATAAATACTATATTTGGTTTGGTGTCACCGGGTTTGACATAATTAATTAGCCCGGCGGTAAAGCTCATCACATGGGCGCAAAGCTGCTGCTGCCGTTAATCCTTCCACCAACTGAAGTGTCCGTGGGTTCATACACACTGAACCCGCAGCTCCTCGCAGACCCCCAGCCTGCTGCCTCACAGCTCTCTTTTAGAGGCTGCTTTTTGAACTGCTTTTGCTTTGTGAACGAAGGCGTGTCCGGGGGAGTAATGCATATAATCGTCAGGCGCGTTGCGATAGGCTTGAGCTACCCAGTCCTTCGCTTTCTTTGCTCCAGCAGACTCAGCCGCAGGCTCTCTACGATGGCCGAGATCCCCTCCGAGCAAGTGGTATTCAACAAGCCAAAGGTATGTTGTCAGCCGGTGGTACTCTGCAAGTGTGGGTATTAATAATTTAAATGGAAAGCAGGTGAATTATTGACAGGCGCCACTGGGTTTTCATTCCTGGTTTACGCACGTTGTGAATGCGTAAACACTGCCTCAGTCCCAGTGACAGAAAGAAGATAAAGAATGGTTAGAAATGTAAAGACAAAGAATGTTAGATTGAAAACAGTGTTAAACGCTGAAGGTAGGTGTGTGTGTGTGTGTGTGTGTGTGATGGTTGTAAAGCACGGAAGGACATTTGTTTCAGTTTAACACGAGACTAGCAGGCACCACTGTGATGAATGAAAACATGAGTATTTTTTTTTAACAGATGTGTTTTTGTTTTTACTCAGCAAACCCACACACTTTTGGATTGTTTTATTAATATAATTTACACTGCTATGGAGCAAAGAAATTGGGCTCATTCTGAACTTGTATGCAGCTTTTATCAGCTTGTGTAATTCTGCATTAATGTATAGTATATTATAATTCATGCCAGCTTCTCCTCACTGCAACAGAAACACAGTAAACACTAAATTTTGCCTGTTTTTTCATGGTAGTTCTTTATTGTGTTGCTAGCAGGGTGACACCTGCATTACACAACAATGCCTTGAGGTAAACAGCACATTTAGGCTGTTTTTCAGTTTGACATAATGAGACAGGCAGCTGTGAAATGTATACGCACTGTATACTCACTATATTCTCACTGGTGCCCTTTGGAGTCTTGGGGCTGACCGTGCACACACCTGCTCTGTCTAGGAGCTGGCAGCTGATAAGAAGACAGGAAATTACACATACAGTACTGTGGGCTCTACAGTGTGTGTGTGTGTGTGTGTGTGTGTGTGTGTGTGTTAATGAGTGTGTTGGTGTGATCATAAATTTTAAAAGGAGAGACCTCAGGGGAGGGGTGGCTTCTTGCAGAGATAATGTCATTAAATATTAATTTGCTGTTGTGGAAATGATACCATTAAGGGGGTCGTTGTTGCAGTGACCATCAGTTCACCATCCATGCTTCATGTGCTGACAGCTGTCACAGTGTAGGAGCTACAGGGTTATTAAAATGTGTGCGCTTGTAAAAAATGGAGTTGGTAAACAATTATTTTCATTACCAGTCATCGTCTTGATTATTTTCTCAGTTAATTGATTCCTTGACAGAAAATGGTTAAAAACAGCCATCAGAATTGAATAAAACTCACATCTGGTAGAAACGATTTCCGCACACTTACATTTGGACAGTGTTTCGCTTTAAAGTGAAGCCAAGGGTGTAATATTGCAGGCAGGGCAGTTGCACTGGGGCCCATAGAGGTTCATGTGAATTTTTAAGGGTGCTTTCACACCTGCCCTGTTTGGTTCGGTTCAGTCAAACTCAAATTTGTTTGCCCCCTAAGTGCAGTCCGTTTGGGCAGGTGTGAACACAGCAATCACACTCAGGTACACACTGAAACAAAACAGAGACCACTTCTTCAAGAGGGTCTCAGTCCGGTTCCAAACTAACTCTGGTGCGGTTGGTTTGTGGTGAGAAGGTGTTCCGACCTGGATGTGAAGCAACTGCAGTCACATGACACATTGTTTGGGTTAAACATGAGCATGTTACAGTCCTGGAGGATTATTAATGTGCACCTCCTCCTGTACTGCCTTAATATGCACATTCAGCACATCCAATACATCAAAACATTGTTTTCTAGTTGGAGCCGCGCCTCGTTTTCAAACTGTATGGTTTGACTAAAATGAACAATGACAGCAATATAGTCCACGATGAGCAGCGCTAAAATCAACCTGCGTAGTTGTCCCTCCATTGTGACATTAGAAAGTGTCACATTTATCTTGCAAGTGTAATCTTCTTCAACGTTTGCTTTACTTCCTGGATTTTTCCCACGTGGAAATTCTGACCAATCAAGAGCAGCTTTCTCACACAAGACATTTGATCTGGTCCGTGAGAACATGAACCAACTCTAGGCAATTATACAACTTTGGAACAACATGAGTCCCTGATTCAGACCAAAGGAGACGACTCTAGGTCTGAAAGTACCTTTAGATTGCTACCTTAGAAATATGTCTGTGTTAAAAAAAAACTCCATTTGCCATATGCTATATGTGCCTTCGATATGGCAAACCAATCTCCATCATAACTGTGAATAAATGATTAAAAAAACTATAAAATTAAACGAATGACACCTTATTTCTATTGGTATTTTTGTCAAATATATGCGATGATGATTTCTGGGTAATATGTATGTTGGTGTCATCCAATGTCAAGTCGCTACTTGGCGTGCCTTAGGGTACTGTCCTAGTAGCACAACTACCTTACCCCTCAGAGTGAAACTGCAAACCACTTCAGACTTATTGATGACTCAGCACCTTGCCAAGACCAAGCTGGGTGGAGCTGTGGTTGTTCTTCCTCATAAAACTCCCATCTGACATCTTTTTATGTCAAATGTTTTCCGTCCAACCAACAGTCCAAAATCCAAAGAATATTCAGTGTATAATAATGTGAGTAACAGAAAAAAGTAGCGAGCGAATATTTGGCGTTTTTGCTGAAAAACCATTAATTGATTATCAAAATATTTGCAGATGATTCTTTTGTTGATTGACTCATCATTGACTACTTTCTGTTTTGGTTTGTTACACTCTGGTAGAGCTAAATTTGACAGAAGCAGTGCCTCAGCTACTGGTAACGTTATTTGTCTTGATAAATCATTTGGTCTATGAAGTGTCTTTACAAATATTTCTAAATGTTAAATGTCGTCTTTTTACCCTAACAGTAGTCCCAAACACAGACATTTAAGTTTACTTCAACTTAAGACAAAGAAATGAGTACCACTAATGGATATATTCATTGCTAATTATTGGGACGACTATAGTATAAACTCAGCTGACATATGTCTTACCACAGTGTGTTACAGGAAGTGCTGAATGTTCTGATAGAGATTGCCTCAGGACTTCTTGAAGTTGCAGATGGGTTAACCAGCTGTGAAGCGTCTGATCCTTAAGTGTCACTGACACGCTTAACCTTATGTTGTAAACATCTGATCTCAAGATCGTTTTCTACTCTTGTTTTTTGTCCTGCGTCACACAGATGGGCTCAGCTGCACAACGTCTACATGCTTTTACTTTGTATAAAAGTAATAAGGTGATAAGGAAGCGAGTTAATGTGTGGTAATTTGTTGATTAATCAATGAATCATTTGGCTCACGTCATCAGAGAATAGTGGAAAATGATCTCTCCAAATCCAAAGAGAAGTCTTCAACAGGGTCGCTCCGAGAAATTTAAATCTTTGAGGTGGCAAACCAAAACCAGAAGCCATGACTGAATTTCAGGGCTTCGCTTATGCTGTTAAACTACAATGTCAATATGGAGGGTTAAGGGATCACACTCGGATATGCTTTGGTTTCGTATTTAACAGTTAATATTACTAATTATCTAATGTGCGTAGACTAATACCAGAACAGATGACATTTTGAGTTCCACAATAGTCCTGTTTTAATTTGTTGTGTATCTACATGTTAGGTGATTAATTGTTCTTCAAATAGAGAAATATACGGCTTTAATTTGAAGGAGTATCTTGATCATAAGGAACAACATTTTTAGCAGAAACAAACCTCATGTTTCGGGGAGACTTGTGGGTACCCATAGAGCCCATTTTCATTCAGCTATCTTAAGGTGAGAGTTAAAGTGACCCAAATGAAATGGCCATGCCAGTTGTTCCCTCACCAAAAATATTTGGCTAAACCTAGGAGCTTTCTTTAGGCCCCTTCATCACAATCTGTGCCTGCATGGTTGATGCCAATAGATGCCTTAGGTTGTCTAGTTTCATGAGATACCACTACCCTCACTCTAGCTTAAAAATTGGGGGCACAACTGGTCTTCAGATGTTTTTTGTTCACCCAAAACCCAAAGAAATCCAATTTACAATATAGTTTTATTCACAAAAACAGGAGAAATGGAGTAAATCTTCTCATTAGTTGATCCTAAAGTAGACATTGTTGGAGTTTTCTTTTCTTAAATAACCTAAACAATTAATCACTTATCAAAATAGCTGCCGACTAATCCTCCAACAATTTATGAAACAATTAGTTGGCTTACCGTGTCAGCTTTGGCTGAAATACACCAGAAATATTTGGTTTACTGGAAGCTGTTGGCAGATTTACTTCTTCTTGTTTCCCTGCTTTTTGAACAGACAATATGGAGAAATATTGTTTTTCATCACGTTATCATTTCAAAGTAGACTGTCAGTAAAATTTGTGTCTGAAAAGGAACTTGAGTCAAGACGTTCCAGAAGTTATGTCAACTGACAATCTGACACACCTCCTGTAGTGACTCGTGAGGACATTAGACAACATTAAATCATGTTGAAACAGTCACTGAGCTAAAGTTTGGAACATTAAGCTCTACTCGGGCTTCAGGATATGAATGTCAAAACAGTTTAGAGCTGGGTCATGGCCAATAAGGGGATCCCCTCATTTATTTTAATGCATACAGTAGAATCGCTCTGCACCCTGATGGCTCCTTTGAGGAGATTGTGATGTTGTAAATTCTGGCATGGAGCAATTTTCTCCAGAAATTCCCTCCCAGTGTTTGGACCTTTACCATGTTTGATTTTTGATATCCTCAACATGTTTTGCCCCGAATCTTTCCTCCTCTGAAGTGTGAAGGTTTTCCATGAGAACATCTTGAGGCAGCTCAGCTGAGGTCGTGGAAAGGCTCTTTGGTTGCTTTCTTAAACTTTCTAGATCCAACAGGGTGTTGACATTTCAACTGATGTTTGAATGTGATTTTAGAATCAGTGACAAATTAAACCCCCTGAAAACTCAGCCTTAAATCTTAAGTATTTAGAGTACTGATTCTTCGCAACAGTTTGGTAGAAAACTGTGTGTTCATGTTGGATCCCAGCACTCACAGTCAGAAGTTAATAGAGAAAATCAGATTTCATTATCATAAAAGTGGCAACATAAGTTTAGAATCTAGAATAAACTGAGACTACAGAGGAGGAAACTTTGCTGTTGCAGGCCAAATATCCATAACCGTGCCAATTTTCTTCTTCCTCATGGCTCCCAACCAGAAATAGAAATTAAATGTGTGCTGTCGAAAATCTTTTAGCTAAAGATCACCCTGACTGATGAGCAAAGTTTGGGCCTCAGTTGTTGAAGGAGGAGCGTAGATTTATCGGTGTCATCTGCCTGAATAAATCACTGCTCTCAGCACTGGAAAGGGAGCTAGGACACTTAATCTTCTATGACCCTCCACTGGCCTTTCCACCATTCGTTGGCCAGTCATGCGTGCTGCATTCATGATGGGCCGCAGCCAAGGCATTGAACTGCAACACCACCACCAACACTGCTCTCTCTGGCTGCTCTCATTTCCAACACTACTGGGTTTCTTCAGCTTTTTACTTCTAAACTCTAGTGTGCAGTGAGGCTCAGATATGTGGCTATATCCATCTGAAAATATTTTGTTTTAATCGATAGTTGATTTAATTAATCATTGTTTGTCTTTCTCCTCCACAGGTTGAGCTGCATGTGCATCTTGATGGAGCCATCAGGGTGCAGACTATTCTTGACGTTGCCAAGTAAGTTACCTAAGAGATCAGCAAACTTCGTAACTACTTTACAGTTTTGTTGATTAACTTTATTTGTGATAATTATGAACTGATTAAGTAAAATAGAGCACAACTGATAAATCTCCTGATTAGGTACATCAGTTGACTGATAAGTTACAAGAAATGGTTGTATAGTGGTAAATGCTCGATACAGAATGACTCAGGTATTTTAGAAACACTGTCACGTTACAGACAAAGATCAAAGGTTTGTTTTACTTCCTGCTAAATGTGCTCAGAACGGGTCGCAATTCTTAAATAACTAAATTAATGGGATCCTTAAAAAATGTGTTTATTTTAAGAAATGTATGGTTTATATTTTAAAGCTATATTGAATTATATTTTTGGCCACTAGGGGGCAGCGCAACAAGCTTTAAACGCAATTCTGATGTATTATCATCTTATAAAACTGACATGGTGAACATGGTGGCAAACAGTTGCCTATATGTACTGTTACATCATGGTCTGTCCACGTCTACATATAATGTGCAAGGTACTCTGGGTGCGTTGGTTGTTGACCTTTTGGGACATCGTGTCAAGTTCTGCCTGTTACATGCATTGTCGTCTTGCAAAATATGCTTCCGTTTTGACAGGAAATTTAACGTTTACATACAGTCTCTTTCAAAATAAACGCACTACATTGGTACAACCCCACAAATTGATTTTTTTTTTCCCTTCAACAGCAAACGCATGTGGCTGGGTTTAGGAAAAAAGAACAGGGTTTAGCTTTCTAATCTTACGGGACACAAACACTGCTCACTCTCGATTGAGAGACTGGGACTCGGACTTTCGCCGCTTTAACTTTCATTTTTGTCCCGTCGTGTTTCCCCTTGACGCTGCCAGATGCCGTTAAACTTTAATAGTGACTGGCTGTGAATCATACTGATGTTAAAGAACAGCTTTTTTCACCTGTGTCTGATACCGCAAGTCACTGACCAAGCGCCAGATTTCGACGACTTCAGAGTGAGACTGGGTTGTACATAGACATACCTATCTCGTGCTGTGCTAACGCTAAAGAAAAGTCCGGCTGAACCCAACCTCCTAATTCTGCACAAAGGGACAAAAAAATGCTCAGGGTCATTTCTTTTAAACCAATCTCAATCATCTAGGGTGGCACTAAGCCAAGGATTCAGCACTGGTGCAAAATAGTGTCTGAGGGAACTTATTTGGTAGAACATCTGCTCGTGGGGAAATGAGCCCCGGTTTTAAAAAGGCTAAATCTTTGCAAAAAGGGAACACCACATAAGACATTAGAATATGTTTTGGTATGCAGCTTGGAGGTTGTTGTCGTTTCACACACAAACACAACCATGCTTACGAGCATTTTGGAGTTGGGAAATTGGCGACGCAGATGGTGGAAGAGGTGGAAGCTTGATTGTAGAAACTGTTGAATATTTTTTGGGGCACGCCATTTTTGGATTTGTCTGTACGTATATTTTTAGTATGGCTCCTACCCACTGTTTTATAAACGAGACCCCAGATCCGGTGAGCCAGACTACCTCAGCAGACACACTAACATTTGTTTGGCCCACATTCACTCTCTTTTAACTCCGTTTTTGGTCTCCACCATCTCCTGAGGGAAATATCTGTCTCTTTAGCTGCTGAATGCTCCACTATGCTCATCAGCTGGTTGCTAACTTTCAGTCTGCTGTTTGATGTGGCTAGGCAGGTAGTGTATAGTGGGTTTATCAGAGTATTTTGGCCTAAATTGCCTGTTCCATCGGAAAATGGCGCAATGAGACACCATAAAACCGAAACAATGAACTGAAAGACAATAAAATACTTTGGAGAGCTGAGGGGAACTGCAGTCTGGTGATAATTCTCTCTCCTTTTACGTTACACCGCGTCATCAGATGCATTGGTAACGTAAAAATATAGATTAGAGCAGCTTTAACTCTCAAATATTGGTATTGATCTCAGAAAGCCTGCGGGGCTGCCAAGTTAAAGCCTCAACATATCACTCAAACAACACTATGTTGAACTGTTCTTTTAAGAGAGCAGATACAGATGAAGGATTTACACATGTTCAAATGAAACAAACACATTTAAATTTTAAATCTGTCCCTGAAATGTCTCTTTTTTTCCTCTCCTCCTTCCAGGAGACGGGGCATCACTCTGCCAGCAAATACTGTGGAAGAGTTGACACAGAATATTATTCTCCAAGAGCCGGCCACCCTCACCAAGTTCCTGAGCAAGTTCGCAGAGTACATGCACGTGATTGCGTAAGTACTGACATGTCTCCTTGAACAATTCAGTTTCATAATTATCACAGGTGTTGTCTTGCTGAACAGGTGACAGGGAGAGCGAAGAGCAAGAGTTTGAGTGATTAAGAGTCAGGGTCCACCTCATTAGTGTCACAGGAATGTTACTCCACCAAGGTCTATGATGGGGGTCAAAGTCCAGTCACACACGTGCAGTTATGTCATATAACTACGACACATTCAGAGTCTTAAAACCAGAGCGTGTAGTAGTTTGTGATGAATGGTGGGGGAGTTGATTTTAAATGCCAGACATGCGGAACAGGAAAACATTATTATTGAGATCAAGTGTCACCTAGGCAACCAAACAAAGAGAGTAAAGTTGTTCCTTTCCGGAGCCTTACATTTAGTCCTTCAGTGAAGGGGCTGAACTGTTTAGAAAAGACCAAATCAAGACACACAACAGCCGTGAAAGCTTTCAACAATGACGGTCTGTAGTGGCCGGACGTCAGCGCGCAGTTGTGCTGAATGAACCCTCTTGTATCAAGGCACTTGAAAGCCTTTCGTGCAGTGTGGCTTCGACAACATAGGGAACATGCTAGCTGAGTTAAGCTCATGCAGAATTGTTGTATGAGCTGTGGCGGTGTGAGTTTGTGGGGGGTTAATGAGAGGACGCAGGAGAACAACAGGCATTCAGACCTGTGCCATGAGCATTCACTTTCAGTGTACATGCTGGAAGCCGTGTTGTTGTCCGTCATGTGATGTGGGACGGAGAGTGTGTTGTCATGGAGCACAACATACGGCCAGGACAGCAAAAACATGCCATAGGTGTAAATGTTGGGAATAGTAGTGGTACCAGTAAAAGGTCAGGGACTGTATGAAAGTGTTTTGGGGGCCTAAATGTAGTGTTTCACTTCACTAAAAAAGTGAGGTCCTCCCCAGCGCTATTAATATTTTTTGTATCAGATCCTAAAAGGCTGCAACTTCCTGTAAGAAATATCTGTACATTTTTTAAAGCCCACGGTGACATCAGTTTGTTTGTTTTGTCCAGCTATCAGTCAAAAAGCCAAATGCAGTCACATTTACTATTATATAAGACAAAGGAAAGCAAAAAATATTCACACTGGTTTGTATTTTTACCTAAAAAAATACTTAAATGATTGGTCGATTGCCAAAATAGCTGTTAATTTATTTTCTGATAATACAGTGAATTTATTGACTAATTCTTGCTGCACTAACAAACAGTAACAGTCGGTATGTCTGTAAGCCAAAATCTCAAGGCACACCTGTATTTATATCTGCGCACAGTAGCTTCTATAACGTGTTATCACTCTTATCACGACATAATGGTTTGTTTTTGTTTACTAATATCAAATAATCAATTGAAAACAAACTATGACTCATGAAATATTTATTTACAAATTGATTCAAGAATTCATTTTAAACTTTTAAAATGACATGAAAGCACCAATAACACATCTGTTTAAACGGGAAATAATGTAAGATAATGTGGTGTGTTACACACTTAAAATATCCTTACATGAACATTGACAAAAAGGGTTCCCTGTAAAGGCATTTTTTACTTAAATGAAATGAAATTGAATAAAATTAAATTAATTGAATAAAATTAAATAAAATTTAATAAATTAAACTAAACTAAATTAAACTAAATTAAATTAATTAAAATTAAATCAAATTAAACAAAACTAAATTAAAGTAAATTAAATTTAATTTAATTTAATTTAATCAAATTAAACTAAATTAGATTCAATCAAATTAAACTAAACTAAACTAAATTAAATTAATTAAAATTAAATCAAATTAAACTAAACTAAACTAAACTAAATTGAATTAAATTGAATTAAGTTAAATCAAATTAAACTAAATTAAATTAAATTCAATTAAATTACATTGAACTAAATTAAACTAAATCAAACTAAATTAAATTAAATTCATTTAAATAATTTTTTTTAGGTAGAGTAGTTTGCCTCTTTATTATGAAATGGCTGCCCACAACATACTGATTAAAATCAAAATAAAATTAAAAATGAATTCAAAACTTTTTGTATAGGCCCAGTTGATTAATGCAATAACACACCTGGATTTGCATCACGGCACACTGGCTTAGGCTATGACACCACTAAAGGAGGGTGCAGTGTACTCTGCAGAGTGATGCACTTTATTCTAGAGACATAAGACACAGGTACAATACCTCAAACAGCAAAACAGCCTATAAACACGCAAATGTATGAGCATTAAATCTGTAAACCTACTTGTTTACTCTACCTAATAGTACATGCACCTCAGCGACTACCACTACACCAGTGATTATACATGAATGATCCTTACACATGACCCATGATGATGCAAGCATACTGTCAACAATTTTAAAAGACTCTTTTCAGTCCTCTTTTCAAGGGAGCTTATGTATTATTTAGAGAAGTCAAGCTCCCTCTGGCTCTCCTGTAGTTTCCACGCCGACAATGAAATAACAATAAAATCCAAGTCAACCATCACTATTAGTACAGTATGTTGCACAGAGATGAGTAGGAGGTGTTTAAATAAAATCTACTGTTTTGTGTATCAGGAGAGACTTTAGACATGTGGTCCAAAGTATACTGGAGGCCGATGGGAGGACCGTGGGCTTCTGTATACTTCGGGCCACATCTCTGAAGTCTCTCCTGAAACAACACTGCCAGACACTGAGAGCAAAACACAAGCCTGCGCCTCACTGTGAGGCGGCTGAAGCTCGTTAGACCTTGTCCTTCATTAATTATGTCATATTTATAATACTCTATAAATGCTTATATTGCTCCTTTTGAAAGCCATCGTTGTTAAGATGATGGATTAGCGGTGCCTAATGGCTTTGTATGTTCCACTCAGATAAGAGATTATCAGAGCCAAATGCCAACGTCATTAACTTTGTTTTTCTTTGTTCTTTTCCAGTGGAGACAGAGAGGCCATCAAGAGGATAGCCTATGAGTTTGTCGAGGACAAATCTAAGGAGGGGGTGATATACGTTGAGGTCAGATACAGCCCGCATTTTCTGGCAAACACTAAAGTGGAGCCCATACCATGGGACCAGGAAGAGTAAGTCTTTGGTGAAGCCTGGTGTTTTGCTTTTAGGGAGGGATGTATTAACTCTGGCTCATGACATGTTTTCTTTGTCACCATGTTTTCTTCACTCAGAGGTGACCTGTCTCCAGACGAGGTGGTGCACCTGGTTAACATGGGCCTCAGCGATGGGGAGAGGGCCTTCAATATCAAAGCCAGGTCCATTCTATGCTGCATGCGCCACATGCCAAGTAATGAACTGTTCATGCTTCTGTCTGCCCACACAATCTTGTGAGATAAGAGTCCTAACCGTACTGTCTCCTGTCCTGTGTCTGAGCTCTGCCTCAGTTAGATACAGAGCAGGAGCACCACAGAGAGACACAATGTGCTCTGTACTTATAAAACTACTCTTAACATAACCTATGCTGCACACTGTCCATATCCAGTGAAAACTGTTTATGTTCAAATCTGGTGACTTTGTATTTTTTTATGTAATTCAAAAATGTTTTGAGAGTTGGCTCGTGTTCTCACGGCAGCATTTACAAGCGGACCAGATCAAATGCCTTGTGTGAGAAAGCTGCTCTTGATTGGACAGAATTTCCATGTGGGAAAAATCCAGGAAGTAAAGCAAACGTTGAAGAAGAGTACACTTGAAAGATAAATGTGACACTTTCTAATGTCACAATGGAGGGACAACTACGCAGGTTGATTTTAGCGCTGCTCATCGTGGACTATATTGCTGTCGTTGTTCATTTTAGTCAAACCATACAGTTTGAAAACGAGGCGCGGCTCCAACTAGAAAACAATGTTTTGATGCATTGGATGTGCTGAATGTGCATATTAAGGCAGTACAGGAAGAGGTGCACATTAATAATCCTCCAGGACTGTAACATGCTCATGTTTAACCCAAACAATGTGTCAAGTGACTGCAGTTGGTTCAGATCCAGGTCGGAACACCTTCTCACCACATACGAACCGCACCAGAGTTTGTTTGTGACCGGACTGAGACCACCTCTTCAAGAAGGTCTCAGTCCGGTTGTTTAAGTGCACACCTGAGTGTGATTGCTGTGTTCACACCTGCCAAATGAACCGCACTGAGGGGACAAACAAATTTGAGTTTGACTGAAGCAAACCAAACAGGGCAGGTGTGAAAGCACCCCTAGAGTCTACAGCCATGCTAGCAACAAAGAGGCGAAGTTTTATTTCTGCTGTAAAGCTGAGCATTTTAACATCTGTGGGGATTGACTGGGTTCTGGAGCCAGCCTCAAGTGGCCGTTCAAGGAACTGCAGTTTTTGGCACTTCCATGTTGGCTTAATTTTTCAGCCCTGCAGGGTTTTGCTTAGTTTGTACAAAATTTTAGGGCAAATTATCCAATAGTTGTTGAGGAATTTCAGTCTGGACCAAAGAGGTGAACCAAAGATCAACAGACAAATATTGCCATCACTACCTCATGAAAAAAGTTGATGTTTTGGAGATAAATGGTTTTCACAGGACAGTACTAATACAGCATTTTAAGAGTAGTAATGGTAAAATCAATAACAGTTATTGTGCCAATCAATGTGCACAGTCTCTGAGCTCCTCCAGTTAAAGAAACTGTTGTTACACGAGCAGTTGCAGCAGCAGCAGTGACAGTAGTGAGTCTGTTGCAATCTGCTCTGCTCCATTCATGCAGCTGTTTCCTGTGTTACCCGTCAGCCAAGATCAGTTTATATCATCCATTCTGTTCTTGCATTACATCTTTTGCAAACCATGCCGTAACACCCCTGGGTGATTACCGACATGTTTAGGAGGAAATCTGATTTTGTCATCATAGCTGAGAACACAACGTGCTATGTTAGGAAAACATCAGCTCATACACGCTGTAGTGTCACTGTATGCAGCCAGACTGGTGTATGTTTAAACAGTTTGCAGCCTAATATTTCAGTGCTGTATCTAATATTTACTTTGACTAACTGTTTGGTTTTGTAAAAATAGGTTAAGTTTTTACACCAAATTAAAGGGAAAGTTACGTTTGTTTGCCTTGTTGCCCAGAATTAGATAAGAGCACTGATATCACTCTCGTGTCTGTATGGTAAATATGAAGCTGCTGCCAGGAGACGGTTAGTTTAGCTATGCATAGAAACTGGAAACGGGGAAACACCTAATGTGGCTCTGTTTTAGATCAGTCTGACTCACCAGATGACTGTAGCTATAAACCTGCCATTGGTCGACTATGTTACCGTTTTTAAAATCCCCTTTGCTACAGGAACAACCTCCGAGCTAACAACCTACACGCTGATCAGTGCACGTTTTGATGAAGATCATGCGCTAAGGCGTGTATGTTTAGTTCTTCTGGTGAATTAATGTAAAGACCTAGAACAAATAAAACGACTTGTGAATGCACCTTGCAAAAACCCAGACTCTATCTCGCAAGACTCTCGTGCCCTGTGTCAATCTGTTTCTGACACGGCCAGTCCAATTTGATTTGCCACATATTTTTACTCTGGCAGTGACAAAGGGTCTCATTCACTAATATGTGTGTAGAAGTGATCTTACAAAGTAAGTGCACATGCAAAGTCACCATCAGATTCATGACACGTGCTGATTTTGGTCTTACGACTGTGCATTTGCTGGTGAATCAGAGTCATTCACCATTCATCAGGCGCTATCTGCAGTCAGCATACTGCCATGCCCCCAATTTCTCCTTATAAAGAAGTTTGTATGTCCAGAGGTGTATCATGGAGAAAGTAGTGAAGTTGTTTCTAAGCACATATTAACTCCCTGACACACCAGTGTCTCATCGTCAGTAAGCGTCTGTGAATGTAACGTCAGTCAGAAAGTGCTGATAAGCCATTTGTCACTCTCTTCGAACACGTTGGACTCTGAGGCACGACTACGATATCTTCAGCAAGATTAGATATGCCATCTTAACACCTGCTTGGAGGAAGATTAGAATCTTTTATATACACTACATGCGTATTACACTCCGATTTTCTCATTGATTTTCTTAATAAGTATTGATGAGGATGAAAGGATGTCAATTTCATAGTTGTTTAACAGTGGTTCCCAACTGGTCCAGCCACAGGGTCCAGATGTCTCCTTTGTCATTAGTTCAAAATCCACAGTTTAATATATTCAGCGTCATACTTGAATTCAGCCACGTCATTGAGCTCGCTTGCTGTCTCTGTCAAGTATCTGTCCATTAGTCATTCACTCTGCAGCAGGAAACTGCACTTCAAAATAAAAGCTCCGTGCCAGAAATTCACTGTACTTCATAATAAGGTGTGTTTTACAAACTTGACATGTTCATGAGAAACTTGCGGTCCATTCAGAATGGACTCAGGACCCACCAGTTGGGAACGACCGATTTACGTTTGACCAGTGCATTCGTAAGTTAACGGTTTTAAATATAGTCTATGAAAGCCTTTTAAAATAATTACAGTTTTTATATGTTCTGCATTTAGTTAGAAGGTGTGTGTTTACATTTTCTGAGACAGCCGGGCCTTAATCATGTGCGCATGCATGGTCTGAGGCAGTTCTTAATTTGTCTGCATAGTAGAAACAAAGTAAGAAAATACTGATAAATCCCGAGTTCCTACTAAAACGTTCGTACACACGGTTTAAGGACAGATCTGTGCGCAAGTGCTGTTTGTGATGAGGCCTAATGTAGGGTGACCATATTTTGATTTCCAAAAAAGAGGCCACTCGGCCCAGCCACGAGATAGCCTACTTAAATGATACTCACAGTTTACTCAAAGATGTCTTATAATTTTAAAGGCGCTGTATGTAAGAATGTGGCCAAAACGGTTACTGCACTCAAATTCAAAATACTGCCGCGAGTCATGTCCGCCCCCCTCCCCTACAGATTCGAGGCTGCTGGACAGCTGCACGCTGGAGACTGATTTGTTTGCCCACGGGCGGCTGCTGTGGCAGGGCCGCATTGCCGCGTCCTTGATCTTCGGTTTTCCAGCGGACCGTTCAAGCAAGTCCGGCTTCTCTGCTGCTAACGCTGCTGCCGGGATACAGCGGAGGAGCCGGCTGCTAATGCTATGTACCAGGACACTGCTAATGCTGCTTGCCGTGTTGCTGTAGCTCAGTCGTAACTGTAACTGATGCTGAGACTCTACTGACTGTGTGACTGGTAGATGGCGGTGGGTGATGCAACAGGCCAAAACACAAATTCAAAACATAAACATGATCTGCGGACCGTAAATTTTTTTTTTAAATGCGAATATTCTGGCTATACTATTGTTGTCTGTGAGATCAGTATGTTATATGAACATTATTCCTTAGTCTCTGTGACATATTAGGAGGATTTTACGACTATTTGCTTTAGATTTCTTACATATAGCTCCTTTAATATATTTAAAGTTTATATATATGGATAGAAAATTCAGTTATATTACAAAATAATATCTCTCAAACACAGAAATTCAGATAGGCCCCTATAGATAGGGGACACATACACACACTAGATTGTGGCTACCCGATCCAAGCCCGACGAGTCCCGACAGTAGGCCTACCCGATGGGTCGGGCCGGGTTCGGTCAAAAATGTATAAATTGTATTCAGGCTGGGGTCGGATTCAGTCAGCTTTCAGTGAAAATGTAGTGTAAAAATAAATAAAATCCTATTGTCTGTCCTGTTTATTGCTTGGGGACTGTTATTTATCTGACAACACCTGAACAGAACACACACACACACACATTGGCTGTTTGTTTCTACCACTCCTCTTGCTGGAAGTCTTGGACCTTCCGCCGCCCGCCTCCGCCTTGATTAAATGCTGAAAATAAAATAAAAGAGGGAGACACGTTTTCCTATTTTATCTTATTTTGTTATATTTCTCCCTCTCCCCTGGCTGGAAGCCTCGGACCTCCCGCCTCCCACTCCCGTCTCCCGTGGAGCACTCCCGTCTCCCGTGGAGCACCCACGGCGCACGCCCGGCCTGTTAAATAGCCTGTAACCATAACAATTGTGTGACACAACCTCAGTGCTTTAGTCATTAAATAATGTCGGGCTCGGTTGGGTTTCAGACATAACAAAACAGAATGACTGTCGGGTTTGGACAGAAATACGCGACCCGTGCCGTACTATAACACACACACACACACACACACACACACACACACAGGAAAACCAGACAGACATTATCATCAATTTATAAACACCCCCCGGATGCCCCGGACAGGACGTGAAAAGTGGACATGTCCGGGCAAAAGAGGACGTTTGGTCAGCCTAGCCTAACGAATGTACAGATCCATTCCACTTCACATGATCTCCTGTAATATCGTCATAATAATGTGCAAGAGCCACATACAGCCAGCAAAACATATGTTGGTTTTAGCAGGCCCAGTGAGCTCCTCCAGAGCTGCAGGTTTAGTCAGGCTTCACCTCTCGAGCACAGATGATCAAATTAAGTCTTTTTATCAGTAAAAGTTGAAACACAGCTAGCAAGCTACATGCTAAAACATCTTCTAATGAATTATTGTGGTGTTTTCCTTTGTGGGGCCGTTTCAATGACAGCACTCACCTCCCCATGTGCAAATGTTCCACTTAAACAAGTCACCTGGACACTGTTTTGCCAGGGCACGGTTACTGCATCCTGGGTTTAGCGCCAACCAAGACGACTGCGATTGGTTTAAAGAAATACAAACAAACCAGAGTATTTTCCTCCTCTAGCTGAATAATAATGTGTGTCTCTTGACCTTTCTGTAGCACTGACGCAGCACTGTGGAGATAGGTGTGGCTATATGAGGCTATTCCAAGGGTAACAAAAACCACCTATGTTAAGCTAAGCTAGCTGGCTGCTGGCAGTAGCTTCATATTGACCATTCAGACTTTAGAGTGGTATCAGTCTTCTCATTGAACTACTGGGAACAAAGCAAAGCACATTTCCTAAAATGTGGAACTCATCCTTTAAGACTTTCCTAAGTCTTGGTTACTGTCAGCCAGATGTATACAGTTACTACAGCATGTTGGTTAATGTTGTCGTGTGCATGTTACGCTGCAGATTGATGCAGGTGGATGTAGCATGATGCTTCCACTATTTCATCACTTTTCATCTGCATGACTGTGTGTCTGTTAGGACTAAACTGTGAAGTAATATATGTGTGTTTTAAATCCTGCAGGCTGGTCCATGGATGTCGTGGAGCTGTGTAAGAAATACCGCTCAGAAGGAGTGGTCGCCATCGATCTGGCAGGTGATGAGTCGCTCAATTGTGTAGCCAATCCAGGGCACAGGAAAGCATATGAGGTGAGCGTGTTGTCAAAACATTAACATAATGCAGACAAACAGTCTTTGCCAAATTACATAGGTGTGTCTTTTGGCATGCCTGTTAAATCAAAGCCTCAAATGATACTTTACGTAACTTGTATAGCAACAACAGCAGTGCTGGTAACGATATTTAAAGTCAGTTAAACAACAACAGCTCGTTTTGCTGTGTCAGCAGGAGCGTTTGTGCTCTTGAATGTGTTTGAAAGGGTTGAGGTTTCTTGCAGAGTTTGACGGGAAATGTGACTGCCGGAGGAAATGGCAGACAGTTTAAATACATAAGTATCTTAGATTGCTCACCTTTTATTTAAATGGCCTTTATAATGTATTTCTTTTGCACTTTGTCTTGATGTTTTGTGTGGAGCACTTGAATCGTCTTGTTGCTGAAATGTGCTACATAAATAAACTTGCCTTGCCTGGCATTAGAGTACAGTGGGAATAGTTTTTATTGATAGCATCATTTTGAGGTTGTAAAAACATTTCACAGTCACACAGTCCATCTGATGTTCCCACAGGCTGCAGGCAGCAGGCTGATGGAAACATGGCTGAAATTCATCGCACCAACAACTTTCAGGAATGTTTATAAAGATTTTTTAAATACAGATTTGGATCAAGGGATGTCAGGGGTCAGGACCGAAATATCTTGACAACTACTGGATGGACTGCCATGAAATTTTCTAAAAACATTCATTATCAGCAAAGAATGAAGCACACTGACTTTGGTGATCCTTTGACTTAGTGGCTCCCAACTGGTCCAGCCACAGGGTCCAGATTTCTCCTTAGTCATTTGTTCAAGGTCCACACAGTTTAATACATTCGGCCTCATACTTGCATGTCGCCATGTCGTTGGTTAGTTTGGTGTCTCTGTCATAGAGTTGTCTGTTAGTCACTCACTCTACAGCAGGAAACTGCACTTCAAAGTAAAAACTCTGTCCCAGAAATTCACTGTACTTAAATATACAGTGTGTTTTTTACAAAGTTGGCACATTCCCAAGTCACTTGTGGTCCATTCAGAATGGACTCAGGACCCACTTTTGGACTGCGACTCACCAGTTGGGAACCACTGCCCTGACTTTTCCTCTTGCACCACCATGAGGTTCAGATTTGTGGGTTTAAAGGTCCAGTGTGTAGGATTTAGGGGGGATATACCGGCAGGCATGAAATATAATATAAAAAGTAGTGTATGAAAATAGGAATTGTCATGTTTTTGTTACCCTATGTCTACATAGGCAACAGGTCCTCGTCCATGGAGATTGCCATGTTGCACCACTATGTTTCTACAGTAGTCTTGAAGGGACAAACCAAACACTGGCTAATTTGCATTTTTGCATTAGCCACCATAGTTGGCAGCCATTCCACGATGAGCCACATAATGTCAGATAAAGCACTGATTTATAACGTGAAACTGCTTTATTTAGTGTTTTTACAATTTCAAATCATTGGGTCTGTTTGTTTTGGAGAGCAAGAGACCTCTGCGGATAATTCGGCTCCCGATAAAACCCTCCTAAATGTGTGAAAAAAGGTGAGCACACATTAGGGACCCGTCTCCGACATGCTAAACAGCATTGGAAAAACACTGACTTTTAATGTAAAACTGCTTTATTCGCTATTTTTAGCTGTGTAAATCAGCTGGTATGTTTGTTTTGGAGAGGAAGAGACCTTTGCGGAGAATTCAGCTCCCAGTAACAACCCTCTGAACGCCTGGATCTTAAGTTATCGGAGAAGAAAGGTGCGCAAGCATTAGCAGGTGCTGGGCTAGCAACCTGTCTGCGACCAGTTGAACAGCATCAGAGAAACAGAATTTGTTTTTGTTTTTTGTTTTTGGGGTTCAGTCACCTGGTCCATTTGTTTTGGAGATGAAGAGACCTCTGCGGATAATTCAGCTCCTGGTTAAAACCTCCAGAACAATGAACACTGAAGAAATTCTAACCAGGAGAAGTTTCAGCTGGTTGCAATCTGCAATCCTCACCGCTAGCTGACATTAAATCCTACATACTGTTCCTTTAAGTGAAATGTTTTGACAGCTATTGGATGGATTGCCATGAAGTGTGGTGCAGAGTAGTAGTTCAACTTCACAGAGCTGCAAACACGACTTATTAATTATGTTTTATATAACATCCACCTGACTCATCAGCCACTGTCTTTGTGCTTGTAGCATTCTCAGACGTGTACAATGTCTCAACGTCTTGTTTGGTCCTGACCTTATGAATACAATCCAAGCCGTGGGATAGGTGCACATGGCACACCCTATCACCACAGTACATCTGTTGTCATAGTGGCATCATTGTTCAGTTTGACAACCTGCCAATCTGGCTTTGTGAAAACTGTCAAACTCATGACGACTTTAATGTCTGTATCTGTAACCAACGCAGTACGGTAGTAAAACCTAACACTCCCAAACCAATTTAGTCTTAAGCACTGATGCTTCTCAGAAAAAAATCCAATTAGGTTTTCAGCCAGCATTTATTGATTAATTCAGAGAGCACCACAGTAAGTAATCAATTTTGCCTGTCAGACCGTAATGAATGTGATGGATGAATCAGTTGATATGCTGCAGCGCTGGACGTGGAACCACTCTTAGCTGAAATTAATGGATTAATGGACACAGGATGGGTGGAGATGACTTCACAGGGATGATTCTTAATATTTCAGCTAAGAGGTGCTAGATTTCAGGAGCAGGTTATAGGTTACTCGAGATCAAATTGGGCTGTATGTGGCCCATGAACTAAAATGAATTTGACACCCCTGATCTCAGACAGTCCAAAAATTCTTGGTAGACATGAACAACTCAACAATCCAAAAGCTAGAGTGCTAAAAAACTCAATTTGTGATGTCATAGGGTGTAAAGTCTGGAGCTGCTCCATAGACAATGAATTAGGAACGATGTCAGAGGTGACACAGAGTATATGGGTACTTAGTGACATCACAAGTTCTCAGGGGCAATGTCCCCCAAAGTGTTTTTTTTCTGAGGCCCTCATATTTTTAAAATTCTTTGCAATGGAAGTGCTGCATACTAATGATGGGTCCATGTCATTGGTTCGACAACCCATTGGTTCGACATCCCATTAGTCCGACTGTCCGCGGTGCTGAACGGCTCGCGGCGGGCGTATGGTGCACCGCGACCGGCTTGAGGCGGAGCAGGCTCACGGCTTATGTGTTTATCACTTTCTTTTTCATTTTAACCCACACCATGATCTTTTCCTGACCCTAACCAAGTGGTTTTTGTGCCTAAACCTAACTAGACCTTAACCACAGGGCATCATGATGATTTTGGAACGGACTTCGGAACAATGAGTTTAATATGGTCGGAACAATGGGATGTCGAACCAATGGGCTGTCGAACCAATGGGCAGTTCCCCTAATGATACGGTACAAATGCCAGCAGCTTGACTAGACACTGAGCGTGTATTACGTGTGGAGAGCTGCCTGTTTGCCATTTTTTTCCTGAGTGCTAAGAGCCGAAAGATGTTCAACCCAGCCGACCACTCACAGTGAAGGAGGGACAAATACCATAAAGACCAACCATCACATCTTACATGTACAAGAGCTGAACAGCAACGACAGTGGAGGAGAAATATGTTAATATACTGTATTTATATTGATATGTTTTCTCTCACAAGCTCTGTCCTCTCTCCCTACGTCAGTACTACTCAACCTATGGCCCGTGGGCCCAATAGGGTGCCAGGTGACCCCCAAAGCTTCTTCTAATTTTTCTAATTCTTCTAATCTACTCTCTGTCTATCCATGTAACAGCAGTTTGAGAAAGAGCCTTGTGCACGAAACGTCACGGCACAAATAAAAAAGCCTTCAATGGGAGCTGAGACTTGATGTGCGGTACATTTTTTCCTTTTTTACCCAGCCGACCACTCACAGTGGAGGAGGGACAAATACCATAAAAACCAACCATCACATCTTACATGTACAAGAGCTGAACAACAACGACAATGGAGGAGAAATATGTTAATATACTGTATTTATATTGATATGTTTTCTCTCACGAGCTCATATAGTCTGTCCTCTCTCCCTACATCAGTAATACTCAACCTATGGCCCGTGGGCCTAATAGGGTGCCAGGTGGCCCCCAAAGCTTCTTCTAATTTACAATGAAAATAAATTGATAAGGTTTTTTGGTCATTTTAATGTAAATAAGGTGGCACAGTGCATTAAAAAGCATCAAAATAGAGCTTGTTTATCAAAAAATGCCAGAGGATGATGCCCCAGACAACCCAACAGAGGTCCAGACTAAGCCCCAAATGTCATGATATCTTTAAAATGCCCTGCGCGCATCTACCTGCTTGGGGCTGCTGCAAGTGGCCTCCTGTCATTTTCAAAAGTGGCCACTGGGCAAAGCAAGTTGAGTACTCCTGCCCAACATACTTTAGCCTTCCCTTTATCCAGAGCAAGTCTTCTACCTTGTGCCCACGTTTTTACTTCCACAGATGTTCCATATTAAAGCAACCAGATGCAACCAAAGTGTCTCAGCTAAAAAACATAGCGGCACATCCAAAGTGCCTTCAAATGCTCCCAGCTGGGTGTTTCCTGAGGAGCGCCTCTGGTTTTCACCTGGGGAAAAAAACACTTTGATGGGGCCTAACCTTTATGGTTTCTGGCTCTGACAGAGAGCAGCTCGTGTTCACAAGTATTGATTGAACTTTCCCAAGGCACTAAAGTACATTGCCATTCTTAATTTAGGTGGTGTTCCCCTTTACATTACATCAGTCTGTTATTACTCTCAGGTAACAACTTCTTCTTCCTGGTGAAAGGTTGGACACTAAATGAAAGTTCTTCATCTATGAGTCTGCTGTCTGTGTGTTTATTAAGGTGTGCATGAAAAAATATTTTCATGCTCTCACTGGCTCAACTTGTTTAACAATGAAGTTAAAAGAAAGCCAGTCAAAAGTCATTTGAGGTAAACATCTGGTCGATAATTCATAAACTGGCTATAAAATCTAATCTAATCTAAAAGCAATCAAACATCAACAATGACCTAATACCATTCTACTGATTTGTCCATAATTATCGTAGACTATACTAACTCAGCTACCCTCTTTTAAATAATAAAGAAAACCAGGGTTGGAATCAAGTCAATAAATCAAGCGTACGCCAAATCCAGTCGGAAGAAAAGCGAAAACGTCTTTTCCTCCAAGAAACTCCCAAACTGTATACTCTTGTACTTCTTTAATTGTTGTTATTGACTCTATTTCTGTAGTAACTTCACTTATTGCAGTGTTTACTAATGTTAGAGTTAGCACTTGTTGCTTCGGGAGCCACCATTACTGTTCTGCAAACTGTGGCCTGCATTTTACTTTTACGTCATCGACTACGATGCAGTCCTTGATTGGCTACTTATGTTGTCAACTACATTGCGGATCCCAGATTGGTGCTGATTGGATTTCAATTTTGGGAAAGTGTTAAATGCGGCATCGAGTCCAGACTGATACAGAGAGCAAAGCAGAATGTTGAGCTCACTTCATTAGGATGATGGTAAATGGATCTGCACTTGTACAGCGCCTTTCTAGTCCTATGACGCTTTTCACACTACGAGTCACATTCACCCATTCACACACATTCATACACTGGTGGCCGAGGCTACCATACAAGGTGCAACCTGCTACTGCCCAAGGGTACTTCGGGATCTAGCCGATCTTCGGTAACACTTTACTTGAAGGTATCTACATAAGGGTGCCATGACACTGTCATAACTATGACATGACACAGTCATGAACCTGTCATGAACATTATGTACATGTCATAAACATTTATGACTGCTGTCATTAAGTGTCATTTGGTTTTTGTAATGACAAGTTGACATTGTTTGGGTTGTCTTGATTATGACAACTTGACATTAATCAAAGTGACATTACCAGATATTTTGTCATGACAAGTTGACATTAAATTTGTTTGGGATGTCCTTATAATGACAACTTGACCTTAACCAGGATGACATTACCAGAAGATGTCTTCATGTTAATGTCAAGGTGTCATAATCAAGACAAACCGAACAATGTCAGCTTGTCATTACAAAAACCGAATGACACTTAATGACAGCAGTCATAAACGTTTATGACATGTTCATAATGTTCATGACAGGTTCATGACAGTGTCATGTCATAGTTATGACAGTGTCATGTCACTCTTATGTAGATACCTTCAAGTAAAGTGTTACCCGATGTTCCCATTAGTGGACAACCCACTCTACCTCTGAGCCACAACTGGTCTGGTCTTACCAGGCTAGGGGGATATGCGCCCACCGATATATTTAATATTTACTGCCTAGCTAAAAACACATTATTATTGAGAGGGATTTTTATGGCTTAATTAAATTTGGGCAATTTTGCTTGCATGTCTTGTATGACTTTACTTTCCTCATGTTGTATGTGTGCAGTTTATGATTGTGTAAGTGCATGTCTCCTTGTTAAGCACTGTGAAGTATGAGATCTACACCGCCAGCGCGTTATGCTTATTGTTCAGTCCTCCAGAAATGTGTTTTGACCATCAGGTTTAGCGAGAGTCTGAAATCATGTCAAGCTGAATTGATATTGATGGAAGAAACAGAAACGTGCTTCAATTATTAACAAGGAGCAGAAGTCACAGAGCAGAGTCCACACTAATATTGAGGGTTATCTTCATAACTACACGACCTACAGATACCTGCAGATAAAGCAACCCACACTTGGTGTGTTCAAAGTTAACAACACTAAGATGAAAACAGATGAAACCCGAGGGGTGTCTTCTCTGCATTCAGTTTTCATTCTGTACACACGCAGTAAAAATACCATTCTTTACCACAGCAACATCTTTTCCCTCCAAAATAAAGCAAAACTCAGTCTTAATGACATCAAGGCGCCTCAGTGGATGCTGCAGTGTCGCAGATGTGAAAGCCAAGCCTTTGGCTGTGCTGTTTGGTTGCTGACGTGTTGTGTAATTGATTTTGTTGACAGGAAGCAGTGCGCAGTGGTGTCCACAGGACAGTTCACGCAGGAGAGGTGGGCCCGCCGACTGTTGTGAAGGAGGTAAGACCTCCAACAATAACGTGAGACATTTCTGGACGGGATGTCATCTGAGAACATAATGCCTTGGTGGAACTTGTGACAGCAACTAAACAAAACAATGAAGTCACGCACTAATGATAGAAATCTATCAGAGGCAGAGAGAGAGCCAGAAGAAACAAGATGTTGGCGTAAAGGAGCAGTGTGGGAGTATCTTGAAATTCCAGCAGACGGGACAACAAAAGCACAAAGAAGCACTTAAACACATACATTTACATACGTGTAGATTCAAATACTGCAGTTGATTACTTTATTTCTCTCTGTGTGTATGGAAGCAAATAAGACCCATAAGTAATTGAGTTTTAACAGGCACTGATGACTTAATATTTCAATTTAAACACAACTGAACTCATATCATTGAAGTATTAAATCAAATTAAATCGTTCCACAACCAGAAGCCATGGATGAATAGAACCATCCGGAAAGATGGATTATACAGCAGCAGCCAACAATGTAAGATGACGCAAGAAAGGGACTTAACTACAGTGCACAAGCGAAAGGAGCTGATGGATCACATTTCACTGGAGTTTTACTCTGCAGAATTCCATGTGACAAAGAAAAGATTGAATTGAACTGAATTATTTTACTTTGAAAACCTCGGTTCTGAATGTATTTGATCTAGTTCACCTCTTAAATTAAAACACGAGATTTCTTTCTCTGAATTTGAATTTATCTTTTTCAGTGTTAACAAATTCAGATCCAAAAATTCAAGTTTTAGAATAAAAAAAGATTCATGTTGCTCAAATTCATTTAGCCCTCTCTAAGTCCTGCCCCTTCTCACTCTGTCCTCCAATAAAAATTGAGCAAGCCTGGCGCCTCGGTCAACTTTCTTCTTTCCTGTTACATTGAATGGACATTCTGTCAAGTTGTGGTTGTTACATGCATTGTCTCTTAAAATAAACTAAGAAATTAACTTAGAACATAGGTAAAAACATTTGTTTTTAGGTTGACTTCCTTACGTTTCGGGCAACCACTGTTTCTCAAATGGTGTCCCGCCACACACTGGTGTGCTGTGACACCAATCCAGGTGTGCCATGATATTTTGTGATAACTGCATTATTACAGCAATATTCAACTGGGTCCATACAAAAAGTTATGAATGAATTTTTAATTGACTGTATCAGTATGTTGTATGCATCTATTTCCTAAAAAGGGGCAACTCTAGCTACAAAGTGTAATACAAATCAAATTAAAAAACCCTAATTTGTCGCCTTTCATGTGAGGGAATTACACATGTGTGACACATCAGAAGCCCTGATCGGCAGCCAGTGTGAGGGATGATAACATTTAAAAGGAGGAAGCTGTGACTGGGACAGTTAACAGCTTTATTGTACAAAGGAAATTACAACAAACCACCAGTGAAGATGACCTACCGCTGAAAGAGAAGAGAAAAGAAACAGTAGACAGTATCATGAAAGCTACCTGTCTTAGTTTTTTGTCTTATGTCCTGATATGATAATTACATGTGTTATATATATGTGCACAGATATAAATACAGGTGTGCCCTTTGGTGTGTCTTGGGCACGAAAAGTTTGAAAACCACTGTAGGCAACAAAGGGCGTGGTTAGGTTGAGAAAAAAACATCATGGTTTCGCTTCAAATAAGTATGTTTGTTACTAACGTAATATAATGTCATGTGACATATGCCACCAGCATAGTTTGCTAAACACACTAGCACATAATGTCGTTTTTAAAATAACTTGATTGACTTTTGGTTTCACAGAAGACATGAACAGCATCTCCCAGGTGAAAGTCTTGAGTTTGTTTGACCCACTCACCACATGCAGACTTTCTTGCTCTACAGTAGTTGCCTGGAGTGTCAAGAAATGTCGCCACCTAGGTTGTCTCGTACCGAGATCGTGAATGAGACCGAGCTGGGTTTTCAAACTTAAGTATTCATTCATTAATTTTCTGTAACTACTTATCCTGTTAGGTGTCCTGGGTGACATTGGGCGAGAGGCAGGGTACACCCTGGACAGGTCACCAGACTATCACAGGGCTGACACATAGAGACAGACAACCATTCACACCTATGGACAATTTAGAGTCACCAATTAACCTGCATGTCTTTCGACTGTGGGAGGAAGCTGGAGTACCTGGAGGAAACCCACACTGACACATAAGGGCTCCCCCACCCTGGGATTCGATCCCCAACCCCAGGTTCAATACAGGAACCCTCTTGCTGTGAGGTGACAACGCCAACCACTGCTCCACTGTCCCGCCCTCAATGCTATAAATGTAGTGGTGTTTACATTCCAGTAAAAATATTCAGTTGCCGTTAAAACTCAAACAGTTATGTCACTGTTTTGCTTCCATATTTGTGTCTATTTCAGCTGCCGTCACAGCCGCTTTAGTGCAGAACTACAGTATGTCTCACTGCCACAGTAAGTGGCCATTCTCTGAGGGAGTCATCCCTCAAAGTGACAGCTCAGCTATGTCACAACTGTTTCAAATGTGCCTCTAGAAATAGCCCGCAGACTCTGCTGACATGTACAAGACTGAGTTTTTTTTTTCTTCTTCTTGTAGTTTATGACCTTTTGCCTCGTGACCCCTGTCTGATATTTTAGGCTGTAGAAGTTCTGAAAGCTGAACGAGTTGGACACGGTTACAGAACCCTGGAGGACCAGGATCTGTACAGGGAACTGCTGGCTAAGAACATGCACTTTGAGGTGAGGAACTAGCAGAGACATTGGCATCTTAATCAAAATGCTGCGTCACGGACAAGATTATTACTATCTGCAAAAATGTGTTATCAATTAAACATACTGTACCCTGTGCATCGTTATCACGTGTTAGATCATTTAATCAGGTAATTAAAGTGACTCAGTTGATTGTGTTATTACAGTCCCTACCAGTAGTGACACAGTTAAACGCTGCCCTCTAGTGGAGCCTTAAGTGTCACAACTAAGAGAAGAGACACTGCAGTAATGAGGTTTCTCAGTGCTGCCTGTGCTGCCCTGATTGCAGGTGTGTCCTATTTCCAGTAAGATGACTGGCGCCTGCGACCCAGACTTCACTAAGCATCCTGTCATCACGTGAGCTGTGTTTATTTTACATGACAGACTCATAATTAACCCGCATTAAACCACAATTGGAGGCTTAATTCATTTCATCTTGATGGATTTCATTGTTTCATTTGTGCAGGTTCAGAAAGGACAAGGCAAACTACTCCCTGAACACAGATGATCCCCTGATCTTCAACTCCAGCCTGCACCTTGACTACAGCACCGCGCACAAATACATGGGATTCACCGAGGAGGAATTCAAACGCCTGGTGAGATCAAATTCATGAATGATTACAGCAGCGCTTCACAGGATGAAGGCATGTGAATATGGTTTGAATAGCCTGGTGTGTGTGTGGTAATGCCAATCCTCACTTTCTAATTAAAACAGGAGCAAACGCCTCAGAAGTTCTTTCTGTGTTTTAAACTGCGTGTGAAGAGTTGTGCTTCACGTCCAGGCTCCATCAGGTTTGCAGGTGGACTGAATTTGGAGCTTAAAGGAACAGTTTAACATTTTGGAAAAAACACTTCTTTGCTTTCTTGCCCAGAGTTTGATGAGAAGATAGACACACTTCATATCTTTTGTACAGTGAAACAAGGTGAAACAGCTGGCCTGTCCAAATATGACAAAATCTGCCCAGCAGCACCTTTAAAGCCCACTAATTACCACGTTTCATCTTGTTTGTAAGTGTAAAAACAACAGGTGGATTTACAGTGTCGGACTGTTTTCTGTCTGGGAGCTGTGACTTTCTGGAGTCTCGTCATCACTGTGAGGTTGCCATGTGACCAGCTGTGGCTAGCTGTTTGGGCATCACTGATTGATTTGAATCATTTAGATAAGCTGAGTTCAGTGATTTGTTGTCACTAGTCTTGCATTGCCAGACCTTTCTCACACTGTGCCATTGCTGGAGAAGGGTCCGGTTAAGGGGAAAATCATAGGTCAAAGGTGGCGCTGAGCCCATGTTGCAGCGACAGTGCTCTTGCAAAATAGCATCTGAAGACAATTTGTTTTGGTGGAACATTTGCTCATAGGAAGGCGAGCCCTGGCATTGAAATGACAGCAACGCTTTCCAGCTCCTCCTGGGGGACTCCAAAGCGTTCCCAGGCCAGATGACATATGTAATCCCTTCAGCATGTTCTGGGTCCGGCCCGGGGCCTCCTACCCTGTGGGCCCACCACCCTTCCCGTGGGCCCACCATCTGCAGGGTCAGGATTCAGGGTTTGGTGCATCAACACATTCTGTGACTCAACCCTCCAGGGGTCAGGGCTTCTGAAACAAACATCTTAGATCAGGGGTTCTGAAAGTTCAGATGTCTGACTGAACAAGAGAGACGAAGAAAAATTGGTGACTCCCTCCCCCTGAAGCAGAACTAGAGTCCGAATATGTCTCCGTTCCACAATTTCTTGAGTCAATATTCTGTAGTCTTCCTGCGCCGTCTTCCTGGGTATGCTTGTTTTTTGGTACCTTGCTGGCTACAAAATTAAACTGGTCTGCACACCAGGAACTGCTCCTTTTAGAAATGTTAATTGTATCACCACATGTGAAGGAGACACACATCTGTATATAGAAACTATGGTGGTCGCACAACAGATCATGTGATAACACATGTAGCTGTACAGGAAGCAGTGCAACACACAAAACCAGAACAAAATTACACCACAGGAATACATTTACAAAAAGGCCAGCAGTGCCTGGAATATCACATGACTGAAACATCAGATAAAAAAGTCATAATGACATGCAAATTCAGGGTGAAATTATAAATGCATTAACAACATACATCCACAATTTCTTTTGTGAATGTAATGTGTTCCTGTGGTGTAATTTTGTTCTGGTTTTGCAGGGTGTTGTACTCAGTTTCTGTTTATCTATAGATGTTCACATGATCTGTTGGGCGACCACCATTGTTGGTATATCCAGAGGTGTGTCTCCTTATCTTGTTCATGTCAGACGAAGGGCTGGTGACCAAAACGTAACATGTGGTGATATGATTAAGATTTTTGAGCCCTGGAGCTTTTCTGTGTGGCTTTTACCCCGGGACGGCCCCAACAGTACAGCATGTGCTCACAGTTAAAGGGATAGTGCACCCAACAATTAAAATTCAGCCATTATCTACTCACCCATATGCCGATGGAGGCTCAGGTGAAGTTTTAGAGTCCTCACATCACTTGCGGAGATCCAAGGGGAGAGGAGATAGCAACACAACTCCACCTAATGGAGGCTGACGGCACCCCAGGTTCAAACGTCCAAAAACACATAATTGAAAGCACAAAATATCTCCATACTGCTCGTCCGTAGTGATCC